GAAGTGGAGCAGCTGGGACACAAACCAGCGCAAACCATATGTGATCCCAGCAATTGCGGGGGAGGATTTCAGCCAATAGAGCCATCATACCAGGTCCAGTAACTATATGTTTTAAAAACAAAGTGATAAAGCAATAGAGATTTTTATTCATAAAAACATTATGGACATAAAATCAGCCAACTTATTAGGAATTATATCCTGGGACAAGGATATAAAGGACTAAATTTTACAAATGGGCAATAAAGATGACACTATCAGAATACTAAGAATGTCATACATATACATGTACCTATGTCGACGAGTTGCAAAATATTAAATGTGTTTTTAGCTTTAGAATTTATGACCTGCTTGCCACCAAACAGGGCTATGTATTTGCTAAATAAACGAATCCTACGATGTATCTCCACACTCATTTAATGTGTCAACTATTTCCCAACAGACTGGACCTACTATGAGTGTAGAAGATGGGTTCTTGAAATCTCACACAATACTGAATGAGGTTCACATGAGACAGCCAGAATAGATGGCAAAAATTTACCAGACAGAAGCAGGAGAAACACAGGAATCCATTAATAAACATTACTGATTTCTTTCGATATTGGTAAACTATTCACTAAATGAATATACACTCAACAGCTATTGGAGTACGGGCCGACATTCCGGCCCAGTATTAAGTGCCCGCACTGGTGCTCCACTTGGGACACTGGCATCCCGCAGCAGAGTGAGAGTTTGGAGTCATGGATACTCAGCTTCTGATTCAGCTCCCTGCCAATGGGAGCCAGTGAGAGAAGCACAAAGCAAGTAGACCCCTGCTAGCAGGCAGGAGACCAGGATGGACTCTCCAGCTCCAGGCTATGGCTGGGCCATTCAATGAATAAAACAGCTAGTCCAAGGTCTTTCTTCCCCCCTCACTCGCTATTGCTCTTTCAAAAAAAAATACATAAATCTTTTTTTTTAAAGTCATAGGAATATGCCAATGTTACTTTCAACAAATATTTAATGAGACAATAAAAAACAATACTTTTATATAGGGACATCCATTTCTAGATCAAAGAAGTACTTTAGTATATTCCGTTGATGATTTAGTATTTATGCAGTGAAAAGCAAAAGGCACAGCATTTTCTTTCTTCATAGTAGCATCAGCCTGAAAAAATAAGTGGAACAAGCTAAAATAACGTAGAAACCTGACGCCATAAGTTAGTGTGAAATCTGGTTTTCCACAGAACTGTCACTTTAATTCCTCAATCAATTCTTTACTCTGAGAGCAAAGAAGGTGCTCTTTACACAAAGTCAAGAAAACAGTGCCTTTCAAATAACTTTTGAATTCTTTAACCTTGTTACAGCAATAATGCACTTACACAGTATTCTAGATTTATTTAAATGGAGTAAAGCACACCCAATGGTCTGGCGCGATGACTCAATTGGCTAATCCTCCCCTGGCAAATGCTGGGAGGGTACCAGACTGTGTCCCAGCTGCTCCACTTCCCATCCAGTTCTCCGCTCGTGGCCTGAGAAAGCAGTGGAGGATGGTCCACAGCCTTGTAACCCTGCACCCACACAGGAGACTAGGCAGAACCTTCTGACTCCTGGCTTTGGATTGGCTCAGCTCCAGTGTAGCCACCAATCAACAGATAATAACTTTCTGTCTCTCCTTCTCTCTATAAATCTACCTTTCAAATTAAAGAAAAAAAAAATCCTTAAAAAAAGAAAAGTATACCCAACATGTAAATCCGAATTAAGACTTGATACAACAAGCACAAGAAATTAATGTATGTAAGTCAGAGACTAGATGTTGAGCTAAAACTGGCATGCCTTTGCTTTTAAAACTGTTAGAGTGCACATCTGTTTGTCATGAAATATTCTTTTACTGTATCACCAAGAGAACTCAAATTTTAAGACATTGAGATGGTCTGCTGGTCAACCTCTCTGCAAGTTGGTGAACTGAAGTATTAGCGTGGCTATTTACACAGTGGTTAGGTCATCGCCTGACAGCTGCATCTTCTAACAGAATGTGCAGATGGAGTCCTGGCCAATTAGCTTCCAGCCCAGCAGCCTGCACAGTACGCTGTGGAAAGAGCAGGTGATCGCTCAAGCTCATGATTGTGGGAGGCTTACCCTGAGTTTCAACTTTATCCTCATCCAGCTTACTTTCCATGAACAGTTGAGTAAACCAGAGAATGGAAGATCTATGTCTGTCTATCTCTTAAAAAAAAAAAAAAAAGAAATCCATTTTTAAAGATTCATTTTGCCTGAAAAGCAAAGAGAAAGAGAGATTGAGACATGAAGGTTTTCCATCCACTAGTTTATTCCCCAAAGGCCACAATGGCCAGGGTGGGGCCAAGCTAAAGTCAGGAGCCAGAAGTCCTTCTGCGTCTCGCATGTAGCGGATAACAGCCGAAGCACTTCAACCATCCTCTTCTCTTTCCTCAGCCCATCAGCTGGAAGTTGGATCAGCAGCGGAGGCATTCTGATACCACCGGCCTAACTCACCTTAGCATGTGGCTAGCCCCCAGACACACACACATACACACTCACAAACGAGTTTTAAAAAAAGAAAAGTATTTGTCCATTTTAAAAAGTTAGACTATAAAGATTAGGGTACAAAACTTCATAAGTGCTTCTGCTAATTACTGAAAGTGAAATATAATAATAATTCACCATAAATTGATTATGTTCCAAAACCATCTTTCTCATTTCTTCTGGTTTTATTGCATTTATGAAAACAAAGACAGAAAGTTACTGGGAGAAAAGATGAAACAAAGATTTTACCTAAAGCTTAGAATTTTTCACTTATTTAGAAAACCAAAGGGGAAAAATGCTAAAGTATCTAAAACAAACTTGATAGTACATTTCTGTGTTCTAGCCGAGGCACAAAACCTGCAGCTCTAATCATTTCCTCTCAGAATTTGTCTTTTAGTAGTTTTTATCTTGGCAGCTGAAGTGTTAAAAAAAAAAAAAGGCTTTTTTTTAAATAAGCTCTGCACATCTGACTTTGCAATAAAAATAAATCTGTTTTTAAGAAAAGCTTTGCAGGCATCTGCAAAAATATCCACTAAACAAAATGTTCACATACATCCATGTGTATCTCAGAAGTCAGAAAGTTCACAGAACTTTAACATTGATATATGAACAATTTTTGGAGACTACTTTGGAAATACGTCTGAAAGCAACAGTTAAATCCTCCCATGCTCTAACCCTGATAATAGTTTACCTAAGTCATAGTCTATTTAGATTTAAAAAGATCTTAATGAGACAAAGAATTCACGCAGCTTGTCTTGTTTCTAAAACACCTTTACCTATGATGTTAGCATCCCATATGGGAACCAATGCTGTCCTTGCTACTCCACGTCCAGACCAGCTCCTTAATGACCTAGGAAGAGGAACAGAACTTGTGCCCCTGCAACCCACACTGGAGACCCAGATGAAGCTCCTGGTTCACAGCTTCTACACTGCAACCCCTATCATTGTAGCCATTTAGAAAGTGAATTAAGGAATGGAATATTTCTACGTGTGTCTCTTCCCCTTTCTCTGTAACTCTGATTAGAAACAAAAAATCCAACAAGTATCACAGGGCATGATTCACTACTATGAAAATATAGCCATGGGAATTTATTGAATATACTAAATGAAGGTTGCCAAGCTAAGAGTTTGACTTACTACATAGCCATCATAAAACAAATTTAAAGGAGTAGGCATTTAGTCTAGCGCCTAAAATACTGGGTTCTTACATGGAGGGGCATGGGTTCAACACCAGGTCTAGTTCCTAAATGCAGCTTCCTACTGATGAAGGCCATGGAAGGCTTTAGTATTTCTGCACCTGCCAACCACGAGGGAGATCTAGACAGTCCATGGCTGCTGGCTTTGGCCCAGCCCAGCCCCACACAATACTGGGAGTATGGAAGTAAACATGACAGGAGCTCACTCAAAAACAAACAATTAACTCAAATGTATCATGACATGATGTGAAGTATCACTCTGTAAAACTGTTTATCACTGTGCCTATACTTTATAATTTCTCTCACTCCTTCTCAAAAAAGAGAGACTTAAAAATTATTTTCTAAGTAGAGTAAGAACTGACCCCCAAAAAGCTACACAGCACCTACCAGAAGCATCCATTGAAACCTGAGGAGTGTCTGCCACCAACCAAACTCTTTCATGACTGACACAAACGGTGTGCCATGTCTAAGCCCACTGTAGCAACCCTCCGTTCCTGTGGATTCAGCAGAAACCCTTTTCTAAGTGACTCTGCCTCTGAAGATGCTGGCAACTCCTCCTCTTCTGAAGTGTCTCTAACCTAGGAGCCCACGTTCTGGGGTGGGGAAGCCGGTGCAAGCACACTGTGCATGGCAAACAAGAACATACTCTAATGAGATACATCAGCTCAGCCTGGAATCTCCACACTCCCCAAGACTCACCGAGTCTTCTGGCCTGTGTCAGGTCAAAGTCACTATATTCTGCCCTAAGATGCTGTGTAGTCACCTTTGTACCACACCTGGTTACCTTCACCCACAGGAACAACAGAAGGAACTGGGGTGAAGGGACCAGCCAGGTAGCACAGAAAGTTGGTTTCCCCAAGTTTACCCTCAAGCAGAACCTCTGTGTTCATCAACAACCATTCCCCTAATTCTTTATGTCAACATACTACATATGCACAACAAGCAAAAAACCAGTTCAAACTCCAAAGATGACAAGTCTAAAACCATACACTCTGACACAGCCTGAAAACTCACAAATAGCTTAACAGAGAACACGTAATGCACACGATTGCTAATCACACACCTTCCACCTTTCAGATCGATCCAGCTCCCTAAAACAAGAAAACTCTTTCAGGAAATGCCATGTGAGTTATTTTAAAACAGACTACCAATACAGTTTTTCCATCTTATAATAAAATACTGATACAACTGTTTTAAGGATCTAAACCTTCTTTTATTTTGTAACATTTGTCTTGCTTTTCCCAGTAAGGCATAAATAACAAAATCATCTATATGGTAAACTTTATTAATAAACAAAAGGTCAAGCCATGCAACTATTTCATCACTGATTTTTTTTTCCATTTAAATTTTGCGAAAAGAGTTCAACAAAATACAGATTCTGCCTAAGTCAGGGAGACGGCAGAATCCCAAAATAAGTCACTGGGGGGGTCTCTTTCAGTTTTGAAAAGAATGGCCAAAAATAAACAAATCCACGCTGGCTCAACTTTCATGCGGCGGGAATGAAATACTCCAGAGAGACATCGTCATTTAGCAAAACGAGGTGCAGCAGGGCGTCGCTGCGAATGTTGCACAGGGCTGTGGTGGGGTTCATCTGCTGGGCCTCGAAGAAGTGCAGCAGTCTGCGGTTGTCCACGCGCACCTGCGCCATGCCCTCGGGGTCTCCGTCCTCAGCCCCATCCTGCTGGACCCTCGGGGGGTGGCCGAGGTTCTCGAAGGAGCTGCGGATGGACACGGCGCTCGTGTCTATGCTCAGGTGCATCCTGCCCCGCCGACTGGCCTCCAGCAGCACGTGCTGGCTCAGGTTGGCCATGCGCTCCACGATGCTGCGCAGCGTCCTCAGGGGCGGCAGGTGGACGCTCACGTCCGGGCTCGGCAGGCGCGGCGGCTGCGGACACTCGGCCCAGGCCCGGCAGGGCAGCACCCGCACGGGCAGGTCGTGCACCACCATGCGGGTGTGGCCCGTGCGCAGGGCCAGCTCGGCGGCCACCGTGAGGCACGGCCGGCGCTTGTTTGTCAGCTGCAGCTTCACGGAGGACGCGCCGCCCGCGCTCCTCAGGGCCCTGGCCAGGTGCCCCGAGGTCAGCTCCAGGTAGATCTCATCGTGTTCTTCCGAGGCGCCTTCCATGCGGAACTGCGAGAAGGCCTCGCGCCTCACCTCGCACCACACCCTGGCCTCGGGGACAGCCCTGAGCCCCGCCGAACCGAAGTACAGCCCGTCCGGGCACACGCGGAGCACCACGAGCTTCGCCAGCTTCGCCAGGGTGCTGCAGAGGTGGATGAAGAGCTCGAGGAAGGCCCTGCGGGTGACCCTGGCGCGGAACTTCATGGCGCCCAGAGGGTGGCCGCACGCGGCTGAGAGAGGACCTGTCCTGCTGCCTACAGGTCCTGCAGCGCTTCCGGTCCCCCTGCTCAGAACCCAGCAGAGGCCGCCGACAGGAGGGTTCCGCCTGAGCTCAGGCCGGCCTCTCACCCCTCTGCGGCCAGACACCTGCTCTCCTTCCAGTGTGATATACAGGGCTCCACAGCTCACACTGCGTACAAACACGGCAGGTGTTCCGAGAGGTCCTCAACAGTGTGCACACAACTAAAAGCATCGCTCAGTAACTAGCCCCACTGTCCTCTTCCAAAGGCACATTCACGCACATGCACAGGTGTGTGCGTCTACCTATTTCTGGCAATCCGATTTTCACACACAAAAATGTTAACATGGACACCCTCCCAGTGTTGGTGAAAAGCAAGCCTGCACACAGCAACTTGATGGCTGCTTGACTCCCCAGTGCGTGCAGCACACAATCATTCAATGATGCCGCAGCTGACATGTAAGTGGGTTTTGTTTTTTTGGTTTTTTTTGTTTTTTGCTATTACAAAACATGCCAGTGAAAACCTTTGTATAAAATGTCTGTACTGATTGACTATTTCCGTGCATAAAATCAAAGAATAGGGCCTGGCACTGTGGCCTAGCGGCTAAAGTCCTTGCCATGAATGTGCCAGCATCCCATATAGGCACCGGTTCTAATCCCAGCAGCTCCACTTCCCATCCAGCTCACTGCTTGTGGCCTGGGAAAGCAGTCAAAGACGGCCCAAAGCCTTGGGACCCTGCACCCGTGTGGGAGACCTGGAAGAAATTCCAGATCCTGGCTCTGGATCGGCATAGCACCAGCCGTTGCACTCACTTGGGGAGTGAATCATCGGACAGAAGATCTTCCTCTCTGTCTCTCCTCCTCTCCATATATCTGACTTTCCAATAAGAATAAATCTTTAAAAAAAATTCAAAGAATTATTATTCTTAAAGAACATAATTTAAAATCCTGATGAGTGTCAATCACCTGGGCTGCACAATGCTGTGTTTACCAATAAAACGATCTGCATTCACACTGTGAGTGTGTGATCCCGTTTGCATTGTAGCCGCCTGCTTTTCTGGGTTTATCTTTCTTCACTTCCAGAAGGACCACTAATCCAACGTCCCAGACATTACCTGCCCCAGCTTCTCACGTGGCGCGTCCCATTGCTTATCATGCTCTCTCAAGAAATACTGAATCTTCTTATGCCATTTTCTTCGGCAATCCTGAAGTCAGGTTCCAGGGACTTGAGTGTAATGTGGGTTTTTGTGTGATGCCATTGTTCAGTTCATTTTGGATTCTATGTTGAAGCAGTGGAGAGCTAACACACTACAACGTCACCAGTGCATCCACTATTCACTCAGCTCCCTTTCCACATCCTATGGACCGCAAACCGCTGCTCTCCAGAGCCCTCCTCTGTGCTCATCCCCACCACCCAACACAGCAGAGTTAAGAAGCCATTTCTTCACCACCCGCATGGTGCGAGACACCCAGAGAGGCTGACCAGACAATGGGAAGGAATCTCCAGCCTGTATTCTTGCTCCTTAAGGACAAGTACATTTTCTTGATCTTTTCTAGCCCAAGCACCATCCACACCTATCAGAGCTGCCCAATAATTACATTCACTCCACAAATGCTTTATATGCAAAGTGTGTGAACCTCCAGTGGCTAATATACACATGAAGTAACATTTACATTAATAGAAAAAATGGGAATACAACAAAAGGACTCTCCAAGCCTCAACAGTGAGTTCTGCATATATGAGAAATCTGGTGCTGAAGCTGCAACTTTAGATAATTAGATGTTGACAGGAGGCAGGAGGGCAACAGGGAAGCCACTATCAGAGTCCCCGCTCCAGACAGGTACAAAAGCTGTAACACCATGGCGGATGGGCAAGGAGAGGGGTGGTGTGCCATGCACCTGCAAGGCACTCTAGACTCGTACAAAAGCTGTAACACCATGGCGGGTGGGCAAGGGGAGGGGTGGTGTGCCATGCACCTGCAAGGCACCACCCCTCACAGCAGGCAGGGTCCACGAAGCTGAGCACTCCCAGCACTCAACACAGCATCACTGTGCTTCCAGAGTCTTGTGCTTCTTTTAAATATCCATATCCATTTTCATTTTTCACTTAAATGTTTAACTGACATGTAATACTTGTACATTTTTATTTATCTGAAAGGCAGAGTTACAGAAAAAGGAGACAGAGACAAGGAGAGTACTTTCTTCCATCTTCACTCCCCAGATGGTCACAACAGCCAGTTCTAGGCCAGGCCAAAGTCATGAGCTTCTTCCAGGTCTCCTGTGTGGATGCAGAGGCTCAAACACTGCTGCTTTCCCATATACATTAGTAGAACGCTGGACTGGAAACAGAACAGGTAGGACTTGAATCAGCTTGCCAGGAGATGCGGGCACTGCAGGCAGCAGCTTAACTTGCTACACCACAGCACTGGCCATGACAGTGCAATATTTGAATAGACATACATAAACATGAAAATATTAAACCAAGAAACTGTCTTTTCCATTTATTTATCTTTTCCTTGTGTCAGAAGCCTTCCTTCTTTTCTTCCAGTTCTGCAGTCAGTACATATTGCTGTGAACTATAGTCCATAGTCACTGTGCTATGGAACACTACAACTTATTTCTATCTGATTGTGTTTTAATACCTAACCAATCTCTCTCCTCTCCCCATCCCATCCCAATCTCCAGTGACCATGATTCTAAGTTCAGATCAACTCTTTTGAAACACCCACATATGCAAGGAACATGTGGCATTTGTCTTTTTGTATCACAATAGATTCTAGAGTTAAGTCTCTGAAAGTTTGACTCTTTCTCCCCAAGACCTCCAGCCATTGGCCATTGAGGTCTTCTGTGAGGTTGGCTGCTACCATGGCAACCTGTGGTGGATGAGAACTCTGGGATTGAAGAATAGACAGCAAGAGGTTCACAGTTCACAGTAATATACATTGTCCCAGGAAGCAGAAGAGGAGTTGGTAGACTCCCAACGCAAAGACGATAAAGATACAGTCACTTTCACTCCGCATATGCTGTGACCTTTCTGGCCAGCCTGACACAGAAGTCTCTGTGGATGCAGAGGAGCACCTCGAGGCCCTGGATGGCCCTGGATGGCCCTGCCTGCTGCTGGGAGAGCAGGTAGTTTGAGATCTAGCAAACTCCACTGGTGCCGACCACAGCAGCCCAGTGTGACAGCAGCTTCCTGTGCAGGTTATGACTTGGGAGATGCCGGTTCAGTGTGAGGCTCCACCACTGCTGCTGGAGCTGCAGAAACAAGTGGAGGACACAGGGCCATACTGGGAGGGTGACCTCCAGGCCAGACAGGGGTCCAGTGGGCACACTGCTTGTTCCAGGGGCCTCTCATCCCAAGCCCTGGCCCTTTCCAGGACACAGGTCAGAGAACAAAGTCAAGGGAACATTAGCCTCACAAGTCTGGCCTTACTGGGGCGGGGGGGGGGGGGGGAGGGGGAGGAGGAGAGAGAATGCACCTGACTGTGGCTTACATGGCGACAATGTGACCCTTCAGCCAGGAGCTAAGAGCTGGCCAGGAGCCCGTCATACTTCCAGGCCATCCATGAGTCCTGCCTGAATCTCATCCCAGGCCAGGAGTCCTGGTCCAGCTGGGGAGTGGCTTAACATAAGCCCTTAGTTCCCCACAATGGCCCATGTTTATCCATGGGTTCCCCAGGATTTCCATAAAGGCCTTTCTCACTGGAATTGGCCAGGAATTTCATGAGACTTGCTCACAACCCAGACATGTAAAAGAAAATGTGGCATATTCTCCATGGAGTCGGCTGCCATGCTTTCCCAACCTTCTGTCCATTAAAGGCCAACAAACCAGCAATGCCAGGCTCCCCGTAGCCTCCACAGGACCTGGGAGCTGCATGGCAGCATGAGGGGACTGCCTGAAAGGTATCAAGCTTGTGGGCAAAGATGAGGCCGAGGTCTGCATCCTTGATGTCTCGCTCAGCATCCAGAGGCAGACCTCAGGCTTACGAACGACACAACACCACATCTGCAGGAGTGTACCTCGGGCCCAGCTGGACTCAAGTGGCTGCTTGGAGCCCCCTGACAATCAGTGCTTACCAGGTCTCAGCAAGAAATGGTCCAAGCACGCCTGAGGACAGCAGACAACAGTTTACTCATTTAGGCTCAAGAACCCTTTAGTCTTTATTCAAGTGGGAAAGGAGACTGAAAGAGCTTTTTGCTTGAGTTATGATGATCAGTATGATAGGGTCAATTACACCTATGGGATGGTCCAGCGGGCTTTTCACACCTACTTCAAAAAGCCACAGAAACTGTTGGATTTTAAAGAGGCTATAATATACAACACTGAAGGCTGGCACAGCAAGTTAAGCTTCTAATTGACATGTGTACCCCAGATTGGAGTCCCAAATACTCAACTCTGGGTCCAATTCCCTGCTATCTTGCCTTGGAAAGCAGCAGCCAGGGCCGCTGCTGGGAGACTCAAAAGGGCTAATAGTCCCCTCCCAGGTGGACAGAGTGTCGTCTGACCTGTGAAGGAAGCTGGGCAGGTCTGTCAGCTGCCCCCTCCCCATGGGTTATCCCCGTCTTCTGCTTGGCTGATGTTGTGCTCCTCCGCTGACTGTTTAAACCCAGGGCTGGTTTTCAGAAGGGAATCAATTAGAGAGACACTCTGTGTCTACAAGAGCCAGCACCGGCAGCTTCTTCAGTAACTCATCCCTTGGAGTCAGCTGCTTGCTTCTGATTCATCTCTTCGGTCACTGTCCTTGTCCCGAACATAAGGCAAGGATCAAGATCCCCCTTCATTGTCCCATTGGACCACCAATCATGTGGATAACAAGGATGGAGTTCTGGTCTCCTGGCTTTGGCCTGGCCTGGCCCAGCCCAGGACATGTAGGCTATTTGGGGAATGATCCAACAGACTGAAAATCCCCTTCTCTCTTTGTATTCTTCCCTCTCACTCTAATAAGTAGATTCTTTAAAAAAAAAAAAAATTCCCCTTTTCTCTGAGTGGTCTCAAAATGATGCCACAACTTAACTGGCTTCAAAATATTTTAACAAAATGTTCTGCTATGTAAAACATGAATAAGGTGATCATTGCACTTATAAACTTGGGGAGAAGAAACTTTCATGGCACATTTATGTCTAATTTGTACCCTATAATTTGTGAATTAGATTTCTCCCTTCTGGGGGCCAGAGAAGTTACTAAGAGTTCATTGTGCTATCTTCTTGGTTGTAGGTCAAGAACGGTAGCCTTTAATTCAACAGTGCATCGTGCTATATCTGCATTACTCACCATGCAATATTCATCAGATGCTGGGCTTGAGTACGGGGTTTTTTTTTTGGGGGGGGGGAGAGTGGAACTAAAGATCAGGGGACATCCAAGATAACTCATTTATTCTTTCTCTAACCCTCTGCCTTTTGTAAGGTAGGTCTGAGCTTCTGACCTATCTCATTTCCTTTCTTTCTAAAGATTATCTTTTAACATTTTAAGGTACCCTGTGGCCAACTAATCCCCTCAATCTTGTCAGACAAAGTGTTTGTTTTTCTTGCGCGCGTGGCTCTGTGCCGCCGGATTGTTAACTCACACGGTT